GCGCCCGGCTGCGGGGCCGCTGAGCGCCCTGCGTGCACCTCTGCATGCACGCTGTGCATCTGCGTGCACGCTGCATGCGCGCTGCGCATCTGCACACACCCTGCATGCACACTGTGCATCTGCACGCACACTGTACATCTGCATGCATGCTGTGCGTCTGCATGCATGTTGCATGTCTGCACACGTGCTGCACATCTGCATGGGGGCCGTAGCAAACCCGTCTGCAGTTTGTTCCCCCTCGGCTAGGAAAGCTGCGGAGGAAACAAGAAAGGGCCTCGGAAGGGCCCCTTGTCCTCCCAGCGGCTGGCTGAGGCCTGGCTCGCTTGAGATCAGGTCCCGCGGGACCGTTTCTGGTTTCTCCTGTGAAACTCCGGTTTGATGACAGGTGAAGCTCATGAAATCTCCTTCAGCTAAAGAGCAGCCTTGCTCTGGCTGCAGGGTGCGTGCAGGATGCTGCGGCTTGCACGGATTAAAAGCCACTTTGCAATTGGAAGAACCGGGTAACGAGTCCCGCGGGGGGAATCTACACRTAAATGTTAAATTCTTAGGATATATTTGCAATATTGTGTAATGAATTTAGATTAAACGCAGGAAAGCCTCTGCAGACGTGCTCACCTGCGTGCCCAGGCTCTGGAAGCGGCCCGGGCGCTGCCCGGCGGCGCTGCCCTGTGTCCGTGTGGGGTCCCCAGAGCTCCCGCGCGCTCCGTGCCTGGGATGGACGCGCTCCCGCGGCCGTGCCGTCCCTGTCCCCCGCGCGGCTGGGTCTGCAGAGCCGCAGAGCTGCTCACGGTGCTGGGCCACAGCCGCCCGTGGCGGCTCTCGTTGGCAAACGTGACGGAGAGGGTTATACACAAGGGTGCAATAGGGATGGGACTTCACCCACCCAGCTTGGTCATGTTAGCATAATTTCAATGACTGAATACATCTACTGATCTTTCCTACATTGGGAYTTAATCTTTTGTGCGTTGTTTCTCAGTAGAAGCCGGGGAGAGCAGGTTATGCCGCCGGGAGGTGAGGCTCAATGCTTGGGGTTGACTTGATGTCAACCCTCGCATGAAACGTCGCTGCTGTCGGCTGCACTGCAGCTTTTCTATAACCCCCCGCAGGTATTTGTGCTAAATCAGCTTCTCTTCTGCCTCGCCTGAAGCGTAACCAAGAGAGCATAYGAAATGTTTATGTCTTATCATTTTTAGACTAATTTCTGCCGCCAGCTGGGAGCTTAGTTGTTCCCCACACCTCCTCCCCGGTGACATAATCTGCTGCAGATTTAGGGAGGGTTCTTCATACATCCCACAGAGTGAGTTTGCAGCAAAGGCAAGATGGTTTCTGTGCTTAAGAGAGTGTTTTGTTGCTATGCTGCCCTTCTCTGTCCATGGGTAAAATGTGTTCACTGGAGAAGATGGGTATTTTCCTTGRTTATCTGTTAGGTATGGGCAGTTTCAGGTGTCTTTTATCTGACAGGGTTTGCACTAAACAAAGAGCATAGGCTGATGTGAAAAACCAGGTCCCTGGAGCGCGAGGTTAAATCATGTGTTACGTTATTAAAGCCTGGTTTATTGGAGAAGTTTGGCTGCCGTGCAGTATTTTACAGGGGAAAAGGCGACACTCGCTTCCAGGCCTGGCAGGGCTTTAAGCTGGGCCTTGCTCGCTGCTGGCAGCGCTGCCCCTGCGGGCTGCAGGACCCGTCACCTGCGGCTGCCTGCGGCGCGAGGCCGGGCTCTGCTGCCCTCGTCCCGCGGCCGCCTTGGCGCAGGAAGGGCGCCGGCCTCTCCCCCCGTGGCCGCCTTTCCCCAGCCCGCTGCTTTGCAAGCACAGACCGTCCCTGCACACACGTTTTGTCCCGTGTTTTGAGCGTTGGAGGCGCAAGCGATGCAGAAAGGGTGTTTTAATCTGGCTGACATTGAAGAGGAACAGCAGGAATGCGGAGTCCTTGTGGACGCGCGGTGGCCTCGACCCCCACTGCGCTCCCAGCACAGCATTTGGCTCTTGCAATATCCACGTTTGCATTTGAGAGCAGCATGGCCAATCTAATGCGCTGTTTCTAGTGGGTTGATTCTCCCTGTGCTTACAGCGAGTAAAATAACGTGAAAGTTTAACTCATCTTCTTACCTGAAATATCTAAACCAAATACTGGATTTTCCCCAAATAACCATGCTGGCTGCGCTCACGCTGCCCGCGCCCGGCGCTCACGCTGCCCGCGGCTGCCGGCGCTGCTTCCTCGGCCTCCTCTTCCTCGGAAGCGGCGCCTTCAGCCAGCCCGAGGTCTTCAGCTCAAACTCCACGGGGAAGTGGTCGCTGATGCCCAGCGCCTGCGCGGGAGCAGGGAGGTGCTGGGGATGCCCGGGGGAACGTGCAGCCCTTGGCGGCGGCGCCGTGCGCCCTCCTCGGGGCGGGTTTTCCAGGCTCTGCACCAAGGTGCACGTCCCTCCGAGCRGCCTTTGTGACGCCCCGAGCACCTCGGCACGGGTGCTGCAGGTTAGCCGGCGCTCAGGCCCGCTCGCGAGCAGGGGTCCCGCTCGGCCCTCGCCCCGCCGGCCGCGCCGCGCTGTGCCGTACCTGCTCCTCCGTGAGCCGAAACGCCCTCTGGAAGTCAAAGACGCCGGCCGAGCGCGGCACCACGGCCCCCACGAGCGCCTCGCCGCTCAGCACGATTCTGCAGGGGCAGCGCCGTGCACCTCAGCGGCCGCTGCAGCGCTCGGAGCAGCAGCTCAGCGGCAAAACCGCAGCGTCGACTTTGGGATGCTGAGATGTTCCTTGTCCAGGCTGAGGAAWCTGCTTGGATCAGCAGGATTTGCCACTGCTCTTCCCCGCAGACCCCTGATTCTGCAGAATGCTTTGTGCTCCTAACCAGAAGTGCCTCCCACTGCGCTCTCTTTAATCCCGGAAAGCCTCAGGTGCAACTTGCTTTATGTGATAAGCACTGACGCTTTTCCAAAGATTTTCTTTTCCTAAGGGAGGGAAGGGTTCCTTGCTCTGCGTACCTGTCATATGGGCAGCTGGTGCTTCTCCTGACCGTGGTGTCGTTCTGGTCACCGATCAGCCAGACAAATTCCGGCTGGGTTCTCAGGCGGATGTTCTGCCACTGCTTCTTGGGGACGTAGCTGCAGCCAGCGTTGAAGTCCCCCATGAAGATGAAGTTCTGGAGGGAGAAAAGCTCTTCAAAAATAAGATCAGCAATGCCTTCTAAGATGGACAGGTATTGCAAACAGCCAGGGCAGTTCAAAAGGGAGAGTTTAGGTGAGGGGTTGCAGGGGCTGCCTGGGGAAGGCCATGCTCGCACATCGACAAGGATGGGGCCAGCTGGGGAAGAGAGGAGCGAGCGAAGGGACCATTTTAAGGAACTGGCTCTTTCATCTAGAGATCAAGTTCACTGAGTAAAAGCTGCAGGACTCAATGAAAATAYGTCAAGGCGATACCAGAAATGAGGGGCTTCTATCCACTGTTTCAGGATCAAGATCTCTAAGCATTGTTCCTGGTGAATGAGAGTCAAAGCAGGTAGAGCAACACAAAGGTCCTAACGAACCTTATTTTTCCAGCGCTGCTTCACATCTAAATACACATCGTAGAGCTCATCGATTTCCCGCACTGCTGTTTCTGGGGTGGTGTGCAGGGGGATTATAGCAAACTCTTTGACATCTTAAAAACAAGGCAAAACAGGAAAAAACAGCAGYTAAACACATAATGAATCATAAAACCGAAAAAAAATAAAACCACAACTGATGTGAAAGCGAGTGTTGTTCTGAGGGAGAAGCAGCTTGCATTTGGCAGCGCAGCAGGGGCCGCGGCTGTGCGGCTGCACCGCGCTGTGCATCGGCTGCTGCTGGTTACGTGACCCGGTGCCGCGCGGGACAAAGCAGCCGCGCTCCGAGATCCCGGCCGTGCCGCTGCTCGGAGCTCCTTGGGGCAGCGTTGCGGAGCCCCGGGCGGCCGGCGCCGCAGCGGGGCCGGCCCTGCGCGAGGCTCTGCGCTTGGAAGCACCTCACCCGTTTTGGGCGAGAGGAACCAGACGATGAAGGGCTCTCTGGAGAAGGCATCCTCGTCCCCCGGCTGCAGATCGGGGTACTGGTAAACCTGCTTCACCGACACCAGGTGTTGCCTGCAACACAGGTCAGTGTGTAAGCAGCCCAGYGGATTTCCTGGAGGCGGAGTGCGCCTCGCTGGCTCTTGGAGGAGGCTGAGGGGCGCGAAAGGCTGAACAACCCCCCGAGTGCCGGAGTGATGAGGTGGCCCAGGCCCGCGGCCAGTGCTCCCAGTGCCGTCCGCCACCGCGGCCGCCTACCTGTAGATGAAGGCGTACTGCTCCTTGTAGGTGTTCCTGCCCAGCCGTTTGCTGACCACGTAGCTGTAATCTTCTTTGGGTCCTTTCGACCGTCTGGAAAGAAAATGGTGTCGCTTTGTTTGCTTCTGTCTTTTAAAAGGCTGCTGCGTTAATTTTAAGTGAGTCTTAAGTGAGTGCATATGCACGAGCATATGAGCCACAGCCTGCTGGCTTTCAGGGAGAGGTTCTGCACACAAAGTCCGGAGGATCAGTTGTGTCTGGGTATGTTCTTTGTTGCTTCCTCTTTTATTCTACACCCTGGGTGCCTTTTACAGCCTCTGCCGTTGCGTCTTTTTAGATGGTCTCACTTCTGCTCAGGTTAACACTGTTATTCTCTCTAGACTCATAAGCTACAGGTAGGGAAGCCTCACAATTATCTTTAGTTCAGCAACCAATTTCTAACTGTGCAGAAAGGCAAATTCCACCCGTACTGCGGTGCTAGCTGGGCGAGGCTCTTCTGCTTCATTCTCTTTTCCTTTGGGCATTGACCTTGAAGCTCTGCAGCTGCCTTCCTAATACCAGCTTTAAAGCACATTTAGCACGCAGCTCTGGAGCTGGCTTAGCCCTGGCCTCCTGCCTCCGTGCATCTCTCCCTGTAGCCACTTATTTTGTCACCTTCGGAAGTAGCCGCTAGTGCAGATCATCAGCCCAGGTGGGATGTGGGCCGCGAGCAAGAGCCGGGTTCTCCATGAGGGTCCCTGCAGCCCCTGCCCGCATTAACCCYGCCTGGAGCGCCCCCCTCACCTGTTCAGCTTCTCCATCAGGAGGGGGCAGATCCTGTTGTTGTTTTCCTTTATTTCCATTAGCAACATGATGTCGCAGCGGGAAATGACCTGCGGCAGGGAAGAGCACAAGGCAGCTCGGTGCTCAGCGTGTTTCAGAGGCTCAGAGCGGTTGGGAAGCTGCGGCTATTTGTGGGAAAGCAGAAGTGCGGCGCAGATCGCAGGCGTGCAGGGGCTGCCTCCCTGGCGCGCTGCGGGGGAGGCACCAGCCTCCTCCTTCCCACGGTGCCCATCTCGGGAACGGGCACTGGGATGGGCACCCGGGAGCCGCGCGCCCGGGGCTGGCTTGCAAACTCGTGCACCTGCTGAGGATAAGGAGCCTGCAGGGCGGGCAGCAGCGCCAGGCTCCGTTGCAGCGCCTCGCTTCCTCCTGCAGCCGTTTGGCCCCCCGGGCTCCCCCCGCCGCCG